TATCACCGATCCTGTTGCACGTAGTTCATGAAACATTAGCCAGACCAGGACCAGGGATGTAGCTCAGTGGCACTGCACCTGCCTCACAAGCACAAGGTCCTGAGTTCAATCCCTGGTACTGAGAAAAAAAAAAAAGTCAGATCAATCAGGTAAAAGAAAGAAATAAAAGGGATACCTATAGGAAAGGACAAAGTCAAAGTATCATTATTTTCAAATGACATGATTGTCTCCTTACCCAAAAAATTCCACCAAAGGACCCCTAGAATAACCAAATTCAGCAATGTAGCAGATAAAAAACAAACACACAAAAAATCAATAGCGTTCCTAGGTACTAATATTGAACTCACTGAGAAAGTAATTAGGAAAACAATACCATTCACAATAGCATCAAGAAAAATTAAATACCTAGGAATTAATCTAACCAAGGAAGTGAAAGCCCTCTACAATGAAGATTATATCACTCTGAGAAAAGAAATCAAGGACATCAAAAAATGGAAAGCTAACCCCTATTCCTGGATAGGCAGAACCAATATAATCAAAATGGCTATACTTCCAACTGTGATATATACATTTAAGGCAATCCCAATCAAAATATCAACAGCATTTCTCACAGATCTAGAGAAAACAATCCTAAAATCCACATGGAACCAGAAGAGACCTAGAATAGTAAAAGTAATCATGGGTAACAAAAGCAAAGGAGGAGCCATCACAATCCCAGGTTTGAAGTTATACCACAAACCTACTGTGATTAAAACAGCATGGTACTGGCACAAAAACAGACAGGGATCAATGGAAGAGAGCAGAGGAAGCAGAAACAAACCCAGGCATATTCAGCTATTTGATCTTTGACAAAGGAGTCAAAAGCATATGCTAGAGGCCCGGGGATTTAGCTCAGTGGCACTGCACCTGCCTGCCAAGTGCAAGGTCCTGAGTTTGATCCCCAGTACCAAAACTAAGAGCATATGCTAGAGGAAAGAGAGCCTCTTTAACATATGGTGGTGGGAAAACTGGGTGTCCACATGTAGAAGATTGAGTCTAGACCCATGTCTCTCACCATGTACTAAACTAAAATCAAAATGTATCAAAAATCTAAATGCTAAAACAGAAACACTTAACCTGCTGGAAGATAAAATACATAATACTCTTGCAGACATGGGCTTAGACAAGGACTTTCTGAGCAGAACCCAATGGCACAAGAATTAATACTGAAAATCAACAGATGAGATCATATCAAATTAAAAAGCTTCTGCCAGGGGCTTAGCTCAGTGGTTCCGGCACCTGCCTCACAAGCGCAAGGTTCCGACTTCAATCCCCAGTACCAAAAAACAAAAAGCTTCTACACAGCAAAGGAAGTGAAGAGACAACCTACAGAGTGGGGAAAAAATTTTGGCAGCTACTCCTCAGACAGAGGATTTAGATCTAGAATATATAAAGAACTCAAAAAAATTAGACCTCTCAAAAATAAAAGACTCAATCAAAAATGGGCAACAATAGTGATTAGATACTTCTCAAAAGTAAAACTGGCCAATAAATACATGAAAAAAATGTTCAACACTGCTGGCCATTTAGAGGGATGCAAATTAAAACAGCATTCGGACACCGTATTTCTCCAGAAAAAAAATGGCTATCATCAAGAAATCAAATAGTATCGCTTCTCGGCCTTTTGGCTAAGATCAAGTGAAGAAATCAAATAGTAAAAAATGCTGGTGATAGGGCCAGGGATTTAGCTCAGTGGTTTCACCGACTGCTGCGCAAGCACAAGGACCCGAGTTCGATCCCCGACACCAAAAAAAAAAAAAAAAGAGGACAAAAAATGCTGGTGAATAATCATGAAGGGGAAAAGGAACCCTTCTACACTGCTGATGGGAGTGTAAACTAGTACAATCAGCACGGAAATTAGAGTAGAGATTCCTCAAAAAATTAAAAACATAAATTCCATTTGACACAGCTATTCCCCTTCTTGGTATCTTACCAAAAGAGTTAAAGACATTATATTATGAGGATATATACCCATGTTGAGAATGTCGGATAATGATTTCTATTCTTTTTTTTCTTTTTTTTGGTACCGGGAATCGAACTCAGGACCTTGCGCTTGTCAGGCAGGCGCAGAGCCACTGAGCTAAATCCCCGGCTTTTTTTCATTTCGAACAGAATACAAGGGTGGTTAATTGAACGCTCTTTCGTTGCTGTCGCCTCAACTACCCGTCTCATTTCATTTTTCCCACAACTCTGATTGGTGCTATAGGTAGAGCAATTTTACAGATGAAGAATGGGCTCAGAGAAGTTAAGAAAACCGTCCCAGCGTCAGGTAGTGGAGTCGAAGGCCTGTCTGCACCCCCTGGACTTTTAATAAACTGACAGCTTAAGAAGACTCTGAAAGTCTCCAGGCAAACTGCTAACATTCAGCTTGAAACCACCCATCTGCTGGCAGCGACAGGGACCGCCCAGGGCGTGAGGGAGGCGGGGGAGCCCAGGACACCTGCCGACTCCCGCACACACGTGCAGCGCCCCCTGGACCGCCCACCTCCTCCCAGTGATCCTCGTGGAAGCCGCCGCGGTAAGGCTGGCTCCGGAACTTGTCCAGGAACGCGTCCATGTCATTGTCGTCGGCAGCGTCAGGCTGAGAACCCTCCATGGCCGCTCGCGGATCGCTCGCAGGAGTCCTGGGGCCCAGAAGCCGCGCGCCTCCTTCCGGCGGCGCGGTGCGCTCCCCTCAGTCCTCCGGGCCGTGCCAGACCGCGCGGCTTGGGTTCCGCAGCCCTAGGAGAAGGAGCGCCAGCCCCTCCCTGGCCTCTGCCCAGTCCCGCCTTCTGCCCCAAGTTGCTGGGGTTCAGGGTAGTGGATGAGCCTAGGCGCTGCAGAGCCGCCGCGATCGCTGCCGGTGCGTGCACTCCTCCATTAGTCAGTTGGCCCTACTTACGGAGCGGAGCGCCTTCTGCTTCGCACTTGTGCCTGGCGCGGGCGTGGAGTGGCCATGAGCTTGGGCAGAGAGCCAGAGTAGCAGGAACAGGGGAAGGGCCAGAGGTGATGATGTGGCAGGGACAAAGCACTGACTGTGAGGACTCGGCTTTTCCTCTCGGTCGGGTGGAACCCTGTGGAGAGGTGTTCTGGGGGCTTTGTTTGTTGCTGTAGCAGGGATTGAGCCCGGGGCCTTCCCACTGAACTACATCCCCAGCCCTTTTGATTTTTAAATTTGAGGCAGGATCTCACTGAGTCCCTCAGTTTCCCAGGTTGGGGTCAAACCGGTGATTGTCCTGTCACCGCCTCCCAGGATGACAGGTGTGTGCCACCACACCCGGCTTGTGGAGAGTTTTGAGGGAAGGTGTGATTGGCCAGACGTGTCTGTTTCTGAGTTTAACCCCGGCCTCACCCTCACAGCAGAGGGAGCAGGGTCTGCAGTCCGGGTGAGGCAGGCCTGCTTGACTTTCTGCAGCCACCCGGTCATCCCGCAGATGGCCACAGAGCCCTGTGCAGGCGCCATAGCTTTGGGGTGCTCCTAGAGAAGCAGACAGCAGTCGGGTCTACACAAGTCTGCACAGTGGAGACGGGGAAGGGTGGGGTCCAGGAGGCTTCCCACTGACAGAGACGCAGATGAGAAAGGGCTCTGCACTCAAGAGGGAAGCTGGGCATTAGGTGGCAGAAACTGGTGTACAGAGAGGCCTGAAAGTGTATGACAGCCTGGCTGGTTGGGCACCACGTGACCTAAGCAGTGAGGCCAGCACGGTGGATGGGGCTGGAGGGCCTGGCTGCCCTCTTGGTCTTTGTCCTGCAGAGAACAGTGAGGCCCTGGAAAGACCTGGAGGGAGGGAGGATCCTGAGCCATTTTGTTCGGGGAGGCCTGGGCTGCCAAGTGAAGGACAAGAAGCCAAGGGTGAGGAGACTGAGGCCAACGGTGGCACTGGCGGGCTTGGTCATCACTGGTTCGGGATAAAGAAGAGAGCAAGGCTGAGGAGATGAGGGTGAGCCTTCTGGGGCCAGGACCCTCTCTCCCTTCTAACTGCACATCCAGGAGAACATGCAGTCCAAGTGCCCCTTCCCTCCGACCTCGTGTACACTTCCTCCTCCACCCCTGCTCCCAACCCTGGTTCCCCTTATTCTCCTCTTCATCATCTGTTCCCTTCTTGAGCGCAGAGCCTATAAAGTGCTTTTGCTTCTGTTTTACTGTTTTCAAGTGCCTGAGACTGGGAAATTTCCAAGGAAAGGGGTTTATTTTGGCTCATGGTTCTGGAGGCTGCCAAGTCCCAGGAGCACGGCACTGGCATCTTCTCAGCTTTTGGAGTACGCCTTTGTGGCAGAAAGCAAATGAGCAAGAAGGCACACGTGCAGGAGAGGCCCCAGCATGAGCAGCAGTGTGGCCTCACTGTGTAACAACCCACTCACCCAGGCCCAAACACCACCCTCCAGGCCCCACCTCCCAGCTCTGCTGCGATGAGAACAAAACTGCAGTGTGAGATGGATAGTGACGAACCATATTCAACCATAGCAGCTTCCAATGTTTTTTTTGTTTTGTTTTGTTTTGTTTCTTTTCTTTTTTTTCCCCAATGTTTAATTTGATTCCCATAGGAACCCTGTGAGGTAAGAACCCATTTTACAGATACCAGTAGGGAAAGCTGAGAGAGGAAATGACCTGCCCCGTGCTCTTCAACCTTCCAACTCAAGGCTACTTATGGACCTTGGCCAGGGCCTGACTGAACCAGCCTCTGCTCCGAGGTCACTGGCCCTGGCAAGTGAATGCACCAGTGTCTCTGGATAGAAACAAGGCATGAGACTTGGGACACCTTTGAGGACCACACCTTCACTGGTTCCCTTGTGTGACCTTGGACAAGTCCCAGTCCCCCTTAAACTGTGTTAGGCTGAGTCCCCACCAGTAAGATGAGGTGAGAAAGCTGGCCTGCCTTCCTCTACCCACAGGGCCTCGGGTGAGGCTCCGAGAGGCAATCTGTAAACATCAGTGGCAATGGAAAGGATTGGGCAGATGGCCTTGGCC